GCTCCTGTAGGCGGTCGGCCCGGCGCCGCTCCAGCTGCAGCTGCCGCTTCAGGTCCTTCAGCTGAGTGGGGGGGCAACGGGGGGGAGGCAGGGGCCCGGCGGGGGCCCCGGGTGCGCCCCCTGCCGCTTCAGGTCCTTCAGCTGAGTGGGGGGACAACGGGGCGGAGTCAGGGTCCCGCAGGGGACCCTGGCCTCCAGCTGCCCCCCTGCCCCCAGGTTCCTCACCGCAGCACTGCCCTTCTTCTCCAGGATGCGCTGCCCATCCCGGACATCCTTCAGCTCCTGGAGAAGGACAGAGAAGGTCAGGAAGAGACGTAGCGGGGGCCCAGAGAAGACTTGTGGCTACTGAGGGGAGTCTGGGGGCTCCTGCGGGGGATTTGGGGGTCCAAAAGAGTACTTGCAAGTGCTGAGGGGAGCCTGGGGGGCGCTGGGGGGGCTCAGAGGGAACGCAGGGGCATGCGTGGGGGGCAGGAAGAATTTGGTGATGGGTCCCAGAGGAGCGTGGGGACTTTGGGAGGGGATTTGGGGGTCCTGGGGGGTACCTGGGCATCTCAGAATCTCTGGTGGGGGGATCAAAGGGCCCCTCCATAGGGGAACTGGGAGTCCCAGCAACATTCCTTGTGGTCCCAGGAGAGGTGGAGGATCCCATGGAGGTATGTGGGATTCCCGGGGGGCAGTGAGGGGGTCTCCGCAGGCTCAGGGAGGGGCTCAGGGGGACAGGGGGGCTCTGGGGGTCCTGCAGGGGGGGATTTGGGGGTACCTGGCGCAGCGCCCGGCCCTCGGCCTCCTGCAGCTCCCGCTGCCGCTCAGCATCCCCCAGCGCTGCCTGCAGCTCCCCCACACGTCCCTGGGGACAGCAGGGGGGGGGGGGAGTGAGGGGGTCTCCGCAGGCTCAGGGAGGGGCTCAGGGGGACAGGGGGGCTCTGGGGGTCCTGCAGGGGTGGATTTGGGGGTACCTGGCGCAGCGCCCGGCCCTCGGCCTCCTGCAGCTCCCGCTGCCGCTCAGCATCCCCCAGCGCTGCCTGCAGCTCCCCCACACGTCCCTGGGGACAGCAGGGGAGGGGTCACACCCAGTCCCAGCACCTATAGAGCTCTACAGGGCCACGGGGGAGAGGGCACGGGTCCTATAGCATCCCAGGTACCCCTACAAACTCTGTAAGTCTGGTGGGGTCCCTACAGCATCCCCGGATCAATACAACTCTTTACGGGGTTCCTGTAGATTCTGCAGCATCTGTGGGTCTCTATAGTCTCTAGAGAGCCATAGGTGATTTTATGGGTCGTATAGAGTCTGCTGCCACAGGCCCTATAATGTTCTATTGAGCAGTTAAAATGCAGAAAAGATATCCACAGCTGTTGTAACGTTATAAGACACCTATACCTCCACGCAGAACGATACCAGCTTCCCACAGTCCCCCTGAACCCTGTAGCATCCCAAGGACCCCACAGAGCCACAAGGATCCTTATGGCCTCTGCGTCGCCTCAAGAATTTCTACGTCCTCTATAGGACTGTAACAGACATTGTAACGACCTAGGGATCCTCGCGTCACCACGCGGAGCTATATGAACACCACAACACGGATGACCCTCCGAAACTCTTCACAATCCCTCTGATCGCTATAGGGATATAGGAATTGCTAGAAAACTGTAGGTATTCCTATGGTCCCCATAGCTCTGCGGGGGTGCCTATAGCCCCCCCAGGGTCTGTGCAGCTCCTACACCTGGGGGATCCCCTATAGTCGGGTGCTCACCTCCAGCTCGGCCTGGTGCTCCTCTGCCCGGGCACGAGCGGCTGCCTGCTCCTCTGCCCGGGCACGAGCGGCTGCCGCGTGCTCCTGT